GATTTTTGCGTACCGCTGATTACTGGTATGCTCCGGATTTGTGGTCAGCGCTAGCAGAAACCACTTCATCGCTGAGGCCTGGTGAACTGACGCAGCGAGCGACTGGCTCCCAATTCAGCTTGTACAATTCCTTCTTGCTATAGTCAAGAAGTTATCCCGTCAACTCTGTCTTGCCTGCCTTGATTTGGGGAAGCCTTCCGTGGTCGTCGCCATAACTTGCGACAAACTGACCCTCTAATAGTGGTCTTAGGATTCATCGGCAAGTCAGCAGCCTGTCTGATAAGAGGCTCAGACTTGGGTGCGATCGTCTCCGCAATCCTTTTAACCTACGTTTTCAAAGGAGCCCTTAATCTCCGCTATTATGAGCTTCCACAGGAACTTTCATGGCAAACCTACAAACGCACAGTTCACTCTTGTCATACACCAACCTATGCCAACTCTTCAGCGCATCGGCTCTACGGTAGCTGTTGTTGCTCATGATCTCATAGTTTTAGCAAGTTCGCGCAGCAGGAAGTCTGCGAAATTTCTCTCCCGGGGTTCCTGAAGACGACCAACTATTTTGCAAGCTCTGCAAATATTCCCATTCTTAAGTTGAGAAGTCAAGTTGGCAAGCCACAATACTTAGGTTACATGGTATATCATACTGGCAGCGCACGTAATAGCTAAAAGCCCAGACACGCCGCAGGATGATACAGCTGCCGGCCTGGCTTCGGCTCATCAGTGGATCCCCCCGTCGTTCCTTTTGCGTTTTCTAGTAGATATTCAAGTTTTGAAATTGCTCATTTTGAAACTCCTCCTCAGTCGGAATGAAACTATAGTCACAGTCCGAAAGTTCAATGAATATTTGTGCCTAAGTCCTTCAATCACCATAGTATAAGCGATTAATATGCACAAGCCATCAACGGGCAACCATTATTATAGTTCCGTATATGTAGGGTAGCACGCAGTGCCTTTGAAGACTATTGAAAACTGTATGCAAATATGGTCAACATAAATACATAAAATAAATAGGTTACTATAAAATAGTCAGTAACATATACACACGTACACATTTTAACAGTGAAATATAGGTCTAGGCCCTGTTTTGACCTACAAATTTCGTTAACGAGGGCAGCCTGTGTGAGGTTGATGCACACATAGTCGTTGCTGTGCTCCCCCCGGCACACTAGCGGTCTTCAACGCTTACCACGGAGGAACTGATTATTTGCTACCTTGTTTTTTGTTCTTTCAAGTCATACTGACTTCCTTTTCCTTTATCATAGGTCCGTGGCCAACGAACAGACGCCGAACGTGCCCTAAAGAATGAAGAGAAAAAACTTTCTGATGTCGTCGCAAAATTGGATCCCATTAGTGTGAGTACTACACACCAAATCATCTGCAGGGCTCTTGAATGTGCAGGGCGTGAATGTATTTCCGCTGCGCCATTTTAATCCTCTGCGTTTATGAGAGTATCGAAAATCGATGAGAAATCTATCATGCTACTTAATACAGAGCTTATTTTCTGTAGTAATAAATAAATCGATCGTATATTTAAGGCCCAAGTGGCCGGAAATAAATTCATTCAGCAGCTAGCATCCTGACATGACTGAAATATTAAGTGAGACTCAGCTGCACGATAATTAAACTTGGAATCGTACTTAAGTAACCTTTGTGAAACAAAAACCATTTTCAGAATTTCTTTGGCCCTTCATGAAATAGCACACCTACTGCATTTTTTTCTTAATGGCTTCTCATTCATTATGGGTAGTTTAGTTACATGTAATTGGGTTTGGAGGTTTGCGCTGAGTAGTTGAGTAGATTGATGCATGTCCAGTTTGCTCTTAAATTATCTCACACGAGTAGAAGAAAGACACCCACGAGTAGAGTGGTCCACACCGCAACCACTCTGTTATTATATTTCATCTTCTGCTCACCGGAATAAATTTAAAGATTTGTTGACTTTTCGGACAGCTGGATCGGCTGTCCTCTGTCGAAGCGAATACTGACTTTTATCGCTGAGCAAGTTTAAAGTTGCAGCCGTAAGTGTTGGCCTTGGGCTGATGGATTTTCTCCGTTCGCCGTCTGGCCTTGCGTGTGGATTTTTGCTTGGTATGACGGCAATTGGTGGTCTGTTCTGTCGCCACGGTAGAGGATGCTGGTAATCCTGCTCCGTCCTCCGGCGGTTTCATCACAGGGCCGTCTTTGTTTGGAAATCCTTACTTCGGTTTGACCATACTCTTTGCTATACTTACGTAATGGCGCAGGCCTTTGTAGGCCGCAAGGAGGTCCAGATGCCTGTTGACAGAATTGGCGTCTGAATACCATGCCTCAAGTGCTAATCTTTCAGCTTTTGAGGCTCCTCGGTCTACGATGGTTGTTCCTTGGATATCGAAGTTGTAGCCTGTCTCTCCGATATGTGTGGCAAGCTGCGAGTTAGGGTCTAGTCTCTGGGCCGCCGCTTTGTGTTCCTGTA